AGATACAAAGTTTTATTTCTAAGCAACTGCACTTTTTTATTTAAAGGAGAAAGACGGAAGGAGAAAAAAGCAAGTAGGTGACTTGTATTTTTCATTTATGTGAAACATATTTTCATTTCGGCGATACGTTTTTCTGCTTGCACGTTGTCAAAATACAGAACATCTCTGCCCCTCTTTTCGTTTGACGTGACTCATGTTTTTATTAAGAAACAACTTATCTTCTACATTGATAACGTAAAAATAATTATATTATCAAAATTCCTAAAAGATAATTACAAACAGTTTTCATAAGATGAAATTGTAACTTAAAAAATAAGATAAATAAAATATTAACAAATCAAGTATAAAAGCAGTCTGATGCATTAAGCTCCCGTTATGTACGGGGTCCGGGAAAGGGCCGACCACAAAGATTTATTTTACGCAGCCTTAACAAATCAAGTATGATTAAAAAAATTATTTATTTTGACTGTATTAATAAATTAAAAATTTAAGAAAATACTACCAAAAGGATGTGATTGAGATCTCTTCGTCCCTAGCTAGAGGTTTCGAATTCTGAAACGAAAAGAGTGATTTTCTCTTTAATAGGTTATACTCAACGTGACTATGAATTAGTCGGACACTGTGAATCTGAACTAGTTGGACCAATGCATATATATTAAGTACCATATGTTTAATACCTAAAAAAAACTTTTCAATTAAAATACAAAAGTGTAGTGGTGGGGGCAGAGGGAATTTGGTCAGCCAAGAATCTATAAAATCAAAGTTTTTCAAGTCAATCTATCTCGGCATCACATTAAATTGGTACTCAGCCAACCAGAAATAGCCATCAGAAATTTCTTCTTTCTCTAGTCATTATATACTTTGTGCTCGTTCTTCTTCTTCTTCTTCTTCGGATTGCTCGTTCAAATCCAATTCTTTTATGGCCAATGGTCTGATTAATTTCCATTGGTTTCTTGTTTTGTTCATTGTTTATTATTTCTCTTTACTATGTTCTGCATCCAATAAAATTAGACAAGGAGAGATTCTAAGAGATGGTGATAACATAATTTCTCCAAAAGGGAAATTTAACTTAGGATTCTTTAGTCCAAATGGTTCTAAACAAAGGTTTCTTGGTATATGGTACGCTGATGTTCCAGTTATATCAGTTGTTTGGGTTGCAAACAGAGACAAACCAGTTTCTGATCAAAATGGTGTATTTACAATTGAGAAAAATGGGAATTTGGTCGTTAAAGATGGACGTGGCGATTTACTATGGTCGACGAATGTTTCTGTTGTTGAGACTACAAATTCTACAGTGTCCCTTTTGGATACTGGCAATCTTGTTATTTTGAACGATAATAATAAGGACTTGTGGCAGAGTTTTCAGCATCCTACAGATACATTTTTGCCAGAAATGAGAGTTTATATGGATGGAGTTTTGAGGTCTTGGACAAGTGAAAGTGACCCTTCACCTGGAAGGTAATGTTGCGTTGTTGACGATCTCATCTAGAAGTTTAAACTGTTACAGATAACATACTTTCTATTTACTTAATTTATATCTTCAACATGTCACTTCACGTGCGAGCCTTATTCTCTTTTATGAGCCAAGAACTCTGTCTATCTGGTACCATGTTGCATTCAGTGGTGGAACTAGTTTTGATGAATGAAGTTCAATTGAATCTCATTCGTCCGAAAATATAGTGTGCAAATAGGGTAAAAATAAAAAATTTCTATACAAATATATTTTTTTGAATCCTCTTGATATAAGGAAAGATTTAACTGTAATGGCAAATGTGGCTCAAAAATTGCTTTAGGTCGTAGGTTCATACTCTTGCATACTTTTAGAATCCTTTATCAGGATTTCTGGCTCCGCCACTGGTTGCATTGTATGACCATATCATTTAAAAGCTCTAACTATTAGGGCGAGCACGCGTTTATTACGTAATTATATCTTCAACAGGTACTCCTTGGGTGTTGATCCTCGCGCATCACCACAGATTGTGATATGGGATGGATCAAATAGACGTTGGCGAAGTGGATATTGGGATGGACTCTCATTCACAGGTGTACCAGATATGAAGGCTTTGTATTTTAATGGTTTCAAGCTTTACAATGAGGGGAATAGGCTACACTTCACTTACACTGCGGCAAACACTTCTAATTTGGTGAGGTTTCATATTAGTCCTAGTGGATATGAGCTGCAGCAAATGTGGGATATAGATAAGAGGCAATGGAACATGATACAATCTCATCCATTGGGCGATTGCGACGTATATAACTCATGTGGGAATTTCGCAAAATGTGATATCTCAAAGTCACTAAGATGTACTTGTCTATATGGATTTGTTCCAAAAGATTGGGAGCAGTGGAATGCGAGGAACTGGTCAGGAGGGTGCATTAGGAGGACGCAATTGGAATGTGGGAGAAATAGCAGTGTCTTGAGGAGTGATAGTGGAAATGGGGACGGATTCCTGGAGATCAAGGGAATCAAGTTGCCAGATTTCGCGGATACAGCAGCTGCAGAAAACATCGACGAGTGTAAAAGCAAGTGCCTGGAAAATTGTTCATGTACTGCTTATGCTTTTGTTACTGGAATTTACTGCATGATTTGGAGTGGAGATTTAGTTGATCTACAGCAGTTCAACGAAGGCGGGAACACTCTCTATGTTCGCCTCGCTCATTCTGAATTTGGTGAGCATTACAATCTGCTGAAATAGTAAAATGTTTACTAATTCATTTGGTATTTATACAATCATTACTGATTTTTGGATGTTCCTATTTCAAACTTTCTTTAAACAGGTAAAAAGAGCAGGACAATCAAACTTGTGCTAATATCCATACTGGTAGCTGTAGCTTTTGTTATTTGTATAGCGATTTGGCTACTATGCAAGTACAAAGCCAAAAGACGAGGTAAAATTTCAAAAATAGCTGGTGTTTTCAACTAGGCACATAACATAGTGTATTTATATCTTCAATTCCCCATTTTAAGGGTCTATCAGGATCAATGAAATGCCCATACGCGATCCAATTAGGAGCGGAGAACTCCCTATAGACTTATCAGGACCAGGAGACCTGAGTGTTGAAGGGCATCAAGGAAGTGGTTCAGAACTAAAATTCTTCAGTTTCAGCAGTATAGTAGCAGCTACGCGCAACTTTTCTAATGAAAACAAGCTCGGACAAGGGGGATTTGGCCCCGTCTACAAGGTTGATTTCTATCTTATTTTGATAAGTGTATTTTTTTTCTAGGGAAATACGGCCTTATTTTCTTAGAATAACGTCGATGTTAATTATTTTATCTTAGGGAAAGCTACAAAGTGGCGAAGAAATTGCAGTGAAGAGGCTTTCCAGAAAGTCAGGACAAGGTGTGGAGGAATTCAAGAATGAGATTATGCTAATTGCAAAGTTACAACATAGAAATCTTGTTAGACTTTTGGGCTGCTGCATTGAGGGAGAAGAAAAGATTCTGCTATATGAGTACATGCCCAACAGAAGTTTAGATTCATTTCTATTTGGTTAGTTCTGGAATGTTAAATTTTGTTATATAGTTTTCCCTTGGATGAATATGTATCACTTACAATTATTTTGGTAGATCCTGCTAAGCAAGCCCAATTAAACTGGAGGAAGCGCTTCAACATTATTGAAGGGATTGCACGGGGACTACTATATCTCCATAGAGATTCGCGACTCAGAATAATCCATAGGGATTTAAAGGCTAGTAACATTTTGCTGGATGAAGAGATGAACCCGAAAATTTCAGACTTTGGTATGGCCAGGATATTCGGAGGAAACCAGAATGAAGCCAATACAAACAGGGTAGTCGGCACATAGTGAGTATCAATTGGTGTTATACCTTTAAGAGATGGTACAAATTGTCCATTAACTTGATCAAAGAGCTAACTCCATCTCATATGCTTTTTTACTTAAAAATCAGCGGATATATGGCTCCTGAATATGCAATGGAAGGCTTGTTCTCTGGAAAATCAGATGTTTACAGCTTTGGCGTATTATTGCTGGAGATCATCTGTGGCTGGAGGAACACAAGCTTTCGTGCAGATCAGCACTCAAGCATTATTGGTTATGTACGTCTATTCAATTTTCTCATGAACTACTTTTTAATATTTACTGTGAAGCTAAAGGCTTTATGTCTTGTAAGAATAGTACGGTTATAAACTATGAGCACGCAAATGATGGTTTTCCCTTTATTACTTTTTTTCCTTTTTTCGTATGGAAATATTTCAGGCATGGGAGAAGTGGGACGAAGGTAGACCGATGGATCTAGTGGATCGTTCTATTTGGGACGAGTGTCAACATAATGAAGTATTGAGATGCATACACTTAGCACTACTTTGTGTGCAAGACATGGCAGTTCACAGACCGAATATGTCTTCTGTCGTGTTAATGTTGGAGACAGACAATATAAGGTTGCCCTTGCCTAGGCAACCTACTTATACCTCAATGAGAAAATATGAAGATGCAGATATATGGAATGAGAAACAGGATTTTTCCTCAAACGATGTCACAATTAGTGTTATAGTCGGTAGATGACATCTGCTATTTTGCAGAAATATGGGATCAAATTATATACTTATTGTAACATTCTTTCCAGAAGTTGAGTTTGACTATTATAAAGTCATCGCATTTACCATACTTTGTAAGCAAATCAGTGTTCTCATCATGTGTTGAAAGTCAGTAAAGCGAAATAACAACAAACTAACAATAAAACAGTAAATATTGTTAGTCAAAAATAGAAACAGAAAATAAATCTGAGCCTACAATTTGCTTGTATGTATTTAATGTCAAACCAGTAAAACAAGGTCAGAAATTGAGGTTCATCAATGGAGGTTGGAGGTTTTCTAGAGAGTTCTTTATCGCAGAAACACAAGGGAGAGATATGATGAAAATAACCGGCCAACCTTTAACAGTTGTGGCCTCCTTGTATTTATAATCTGTCCATTACAATGTAAAGAATGACTAACTACTAAAATAATCACTATGCTATGTTGACAAAGAATAAAGGCTAACTAGTACAAAAGACTACAAAAGGCTAAGCATAAAATAAATATCTGGGCCAACTTAAGTATTCTACTTTGGGCCTGAAGTAGTGCAAGCTGGAGGCCCAACACCCCCTTCAAGTTGGAGGGGGAAACAACCTTCAACTTGCCAAGAAAGGAGTGATGGAGGACACCAGTTAGAGGCTTGGTGAGTATATCTGCCAGCTGCTCAGAGGTAGGAACATGTGACAGCTGGATGAACCCTTCAGTCAACTTACTCTGGATGAAGTGACAGTCCACTTCAATATGTTTAGTGAGCTCGTGGAAGACAAGATTTTTGGCAATGTGAATGGCTGCCATATTGTCACAAAAAACAGAAATAGGGAGGGAAACATCAATAGTAAGATCATGCAACAACCTGGACAGCCAACCAATTCAGCAACAAGTCTTACTAACAACCCTATACTCAGCTTCAACAGAAGAAAGAGAAATCACAGGTTGTTTCTTCGATTTCCATCCAACAAGACTATCACCCAGGAAAATACAAAAACCAAAAACAGATTTGCGAGTGTCAGGGCAAGCAGCCCAATCACTGTCAGAATAAGCCTTGATAGAGAAATTAGTAGAGTTAGAGTAAAAAGGGCTAAGGTCAGGAGTACCCTTAAGGTACCTTAGCAAACGAAGAGCAGCAATCATGTAAGGAACCCTGAGAGTCTGCATAAACTGGCTCAGATGTTGAACACTAAAGCAAATATCAGGCCGGGTGTGAGGCAAGAACAATAGCTTCCCCACAAGGCTTCTGTACTTCTCAGGACTAGGAAGGAGATCCCCAGCATCAGCCTTAAGCTTCTGATTCAAGTCCAATGGGTTAACAACAGAATGAACATACATGCAATCATACTCTTTGAGTAAATCAAAAGTGAACTTCCTCTGATTCAATGCAACTCCATCAGGTAAGGTATTGACCTCAATACCCCAAAAATAATGAAGAGAGCCCAAGTCTTTTATCTTAAACTCAGAATCTAGAAAGTGTTTCAAAGCTGAAATCTCACGTAAATCATCACCAGTAAGGATAATATCATCAACATAAACAGCTAGGATGACAAGATGACCTGGGGACCCTTTGATAAAAAGAGAGTAATCATTGAGTGAATGATGAAAACCTTTAGAATATAAAGCTTGAGACAATTTGGCATACCATTGCCTCGAAGCTTGTCTAAGACCATAAAGGGACTTTTTCAACTTGCAAGCCAAAGGAGCAGAAGAAGAAGGAGATGAAACAGAAAGGCCAGGAGGTAATTTCATATAGACCTCCTCGTCTAACTCACCATGAAGAAATGCATTATTAACATCAAGCTGAATGTCGCGCCCCTTTTTTCTCGAGCGAAATCGAGTTTATGATATTTGGGAGGACAACTCATTCCCTTTTGGGAATTGGGTTTGAATTTGAAGAGTCTCCACCTAATGATTAGGGTGTATTAGGACACCAAGAGAGTTTGATTTGAGTAACCAGAGATTGGGTAAGGGCTTGAAATTATTCCAAGGGGAAGGTGTTAGGCACCCTTCAGGATCCACTAGTGTGGTTCCCGACCAGACTATTGGTGTGAACTTAGGTGCAAATAACACGTAAACAAACAAAGCTTCAAATAAGAGGGGATTTTCACATAAGGATTTACAAACAAATAAAGTTGGAAAGAACTAAAAGAAAGCTGATTTTTCTTAAAAAAAGAGTTTGAAGTTCTTTAAAAGAGATAAGAAAAAGGGGGTCCTAAGTTTATTACTAATATGGATCACCCCACACAATGCCCGGTAATCACTCCTCAAAGAGGGGTTACGCGTGGCATTATCACGTGGTCATCATATCCATATATACCCTTCCCACCCTGTTAAGGTATTAAAGCGCAGAATGGTCTTGTTTACTCATTGCATGCTATTACCCGCCCCAATCCTGTCAGTCCCGGATGCATTTAGGACTACTAATCCTAAAGGAGAGGGATATCGACTTATTTTTAGTTTCAAAGGCAAAATTCTAAGGCGACATGCAAGAACATATATAACAAATTGGGGGAAAGCACATAACAGGCAAAAGGGCTGAGATATACCTCCTTTAGTCAAAGAAGCACGTAATTTAGCATGTCTTGCACGTACTGTTTAGGGTCTGATTAAATACTGAATGTGAAAGAACTTAGAGGTTGGGGCAGACTTATTTATTACATATTTTAGATAAGAAGCCCGAATCAGGCCTGTCTGCTGGTTGTAGTTAATAGAACAAATTCAGTTTATAGTTATCACCCTAAGGCTTGCCTAAGTGTTATGACAAAGATCCTATAGGCATGATTCAAAAGATAGTAAAGCTTGAAATGAATTATTTGAAACCCTATATGTGTACTCGTTAAACTGGCTAAGTGAGAGACTCAGATTATTAAAAGAAAGGCAGAATTCAAACAAATTGATTATAAGTTTTGCAACTGACAATATCTATTGTTACTGATTTTTATATCTAACATTAAGTAATGCGAATCAGATTTAATTAGAAACTCCTATTGGCATGCTTTCTAGGCATTACTGATTTTAAAACCTTGTAGACGTAGTATAAAAATGCAGAAAACTCATCTTAAACCTATGAACATGATATCTAGATGTTGAATTCTGTTTAAGACATGATACCTAAGTGCAATTGAATGTTTAAGTCCTATGAGCATGGTATCTAGATGCAGAAATTTGTTTAGGACCTATGAACACGATTTCTATATGAGAAAAATGGATATACAAGATTCAAAAAGACCTATAGGCATATTTTCTATATACATATGCAAAATTCAGATTAACTTATAGGCATGATTTCTAGACGAGAGTAGCAGACCTATGATTATGATTTCTATATGAAAATGGACATTCAGAATTCCCTATAGACATGCTTCTATATGCATTTGAATGTGCAGAATTCAAAAACCTATAGACGTGGTATCTATGCAGAATTCAGAATTTCTATAGACATGGTATCTACCCTTTTTTACATACATAATTACCCGCCCTTTTTCACTAATCAGCCCAAATGTTTATTACAAAATTATTTCAGCCCAGAATAAAGTAAACGAATACATTAGAAAATAAAAGTACAACTAAAGAGAGGCTGATTCAGACTTCATGTCTGAAATATGAGGTAAACCAACTCCAAGAGATTTATGATCCAAAGCCTTTCTCCCATTTGAGCGTGTCAGAGTTCCCTAAGAGTCTCAAATGAACTCCGTACAGTGCTCACACCCAAACGTATTACTAGATTAAGACAAGTGCAGTGTGGAAAGGCCAGCCCTCAAGTGTCCAAGTTCAGAGGGAACTCAAGGTCCCAAAGCAAGGCTCACAAGAGGGGGGAGGGGGGAGAACTTAAAGACTAAGAGAGAGTGCAAGTGCAGGAATAGAATTTGAGAGGGGGAAAGGGGAATGGAAACAATTATAAATAAGTACACATAGGGGTTCAGGGGAATGAGGAGAGTGTAAAGAGGCAAGGGCAGGTTGTGGGCATACCCAACAATGGAGAATGCTAGCACACCCATAAGCCTGTTAGAACACACTATTTAGGGCCTAGGATCCCAAGGGATCAAATTTAATTCATAGACAATAATTTGCATATTGCCATGCCTTAAACCGTAGCTCAAACACATAGGGGGCAGGAGTTTGGGATTCATAACAGAAACATGCAGAAAGAAATCAACATACTAATTTAAGTGTTGAACTATACAGAAACAGTAAGTAGACATGGATACAAAAACGTAAATAAACACATTGTTATGGTGCTAAAGCTTAAATCAGGACATACCAGTTTCAAAGAAACAAATAGAGAAAAGTAGTAGGTCTTGTAAATAGGCCATAGTGCAAACAAGAAGGGAGAATATTATTGCGTAGAAGTGTGAGTTCAGAAAGACTATGACTGAGTGATTTTGTATGTCAATGAAAGAGTCATGTATTTATAGTGTGAAAAACAGGCAGAAATAAGGTAAGAAAACAGTTAAGAAACTGAATATCAATTAAGAATCAATCACACAAGACTTGCTTTAATTAAGGAACTCAGATTCAAATGGAAAAACTATTTAAGGTAAGAAATCAAATAAATATCTTGTGCAAAGTATGCAATTAGGGGTAAATACATAAGAAGTTACTTAAGGGCAGAATTTTGAAATACACGGTTACATAAATAAGGTAAGAAAAATCAATTAGTAGCCAGTAAATCAAGGATCAAAGATTTTGTAATCAATGGTCCATGAATGAACCGAGTCAGAAAAGTTAAGGAAAGCCAAGTAACTTAAATCGAGTCATAGGGAAATCAGCAAATAAGGAAAGAAATCAATCAAACCTATACAGATAAAAGTCTGAAACTAATCAAGACTTGAAAGCCATTTTAGAGGGAAAGTCCAGCACATATAAAGAGCATACAAACATGTTAAGCTGAAAGGATGTCGTGTCATTGCAGAATCAGTAGATAATAGACTATAGGAGCATGGTTGTCACATAGGTTAGCAATGTAAAAGAGAAGTAGCATACAAAAATCCAGTGTAAAAGACCTTAGAAGAGTTTAGCAAAAGTCAGAATTATATAAAAAACAAGGACTTCAAAACTCAGTTTAGAGACTCGAAATAGGTCTGAAAGAGTTAGGGTTTCTTTTGAGATAAAACCAGTTCAAGCAAATCACATAGCCAATGGTTTCCAAACTTGAAAACCCCCCCAAAATTCTAGGGCTTCTACCATCAGTCGAGTGCGGAGATGAGAGGGCAAGTAATTAAGTCGAAACAGGTTCAGAGGTCTCAGAAAAGAACTGAAACCTTTAACATGTTCCTTCAGCAACAAAAACTCATGAGAACATGGTAGGAGAGTAACATGAGAAACACAGTAAAAGTGCTCAAAAAAAACATAGTAGAAGAAACTAATACATAACATAGTAGAAGAAAACTAATCAGAACACAGTAGAGGAAACATAATAAGAAACACATAAGACCATAGTAAAGAAAAATACAATAGAAGAAACACACGAAAGAAAGAGAAAATCGGAGAAACATCTAAATAACTCAGAAAACCCTAGATCGAAAAAAAAGAAATGGCTTTGAAAGCATAGTTTTTTTTTCAAAAGAAAATCGTTTAAAAACTTAAGGGAAAGCATAGATCTGGAATAGATCTAAAGAGATTAGAAAAACCTCAAAAGCTAGGGCTTTCAGAGGAACCCAAACAATGAGAAAGGCTTGGATCTAAGCAAGAGGAGTCGAGGCTAGGCTCGAAACAGGCATGACTCGCCGGAGCAGGTCGTAGATGGCCGTGGAACTTGAATCAACAGAGGTTTAGACCCAACTCTTCGTGGTCGAGTCATGAAGCTCTAGTAACCAAATGCGAGGAGCCATATGTGGCTTAGTGGGTGGTGAAACCACCATGGATTCAGGTCAGAAGGTGGCCGGAAAAGATGAAGGAACTCATCGGAGAGGAGGTGAAAGGGGGAAGGTTCTAGAGAGAACCAGAGGTAGAGAGATATAGACGAGTGAGGAAATGAGGGGTATTGGGGGGGTCGTTTGGAATTAAAAATGGTAAGAACGAGTGAGGGCCGTTGATCTTTTAGATCAACGACCAGGATTTAATAAGGTTTTGGGTCGGGTAGGGGTAATTGGGGCCTGGGTCGGGTTTTAATTGAAATTGGGCTGGAAATTGGGGTCCAATTTGGGGTCAGATTTTAGGCTAAAATTGAAACGAATTGGGCTATTATTTAAATAGCCAATTTTTTCCTTTTAAAATTATAAGAAATAGTAAATTAATTTCTGGGAGTAAATTAAAGGTACTAAAATGATTAATAACATATAATGATGAAAAATAAAAATACCGAAGTCAATTTTATAAATATAAACACAATTAAATCTTGAAATAGGCTAATACTGCAAATATATGCAATTTTAGCTTAAAAATACTAAATAAATTTTGTAAAAATATGCAAAAATTATATTAGCTACATTTTGGTATAAATATGAGAATCTGATAAGTAAATTACCAAAATGACAATTTTGAGAATAATTATTGGGCTTTTCTTGCTAAAATAAGGCAATAAATTGATTAAAACAAATCTTAAAAAATAAGAGAAAAATATTGAAACCTTGGGACATACTTATATATGCATATACATGCTATTTTGAGAGTATTTTGCATATTGAAAATATACAGGGGAGGGTATCAACACTAAAATAAAGACCAATTCTTCTTAATAGGAGCAACAATCAAACACTTGACAGTAGACATCTTCACTACAGGAGAGAATGTCTCATTGATATCCACCC